TTTACAAATCATCATAGGGGGGTTATTTTTTCATCATTTTATCCATCAAAATTATCACATAATATTACACCTATTGAATTATTTGGGATTAGCATACAGAACAGTATATTATTTGCTTATATTTAATATGGATTATTTTGTTGTTTATGTGTTGCATAATTCTCGTGGTTTTACACAAACAGAATTAATGGTGCTGTTGTTTTGACTAACTTTTAGTAATCGGCGTTCAGTTTCGTCAAGCATGCCATCCATCATTTTGTTCGTCTATGAAGAAACTACTAATGTCAAAGAAATTTTTTGCTTTCGATCGTAAATATCACATCGAAATAGTATGTCAGTTAAATGTAAGAATCTACTGCCTTTTTCGGTCGTTGGATTTAAAATACTAAAATAAACATTGAATTTCACTTGAATTATTTTAATTTATTCAATACGATGCATATAGTATCGAATAGTATCGAATAAAAGTAACTCTAAGCGGGAAGACATGGTTCCCATGAGGATATTATAACTTATATGATATTAACATCTGCATAAAACTTTGTTTGAAATGTGCAATCGTCTAGCTTTCTCGCAACAACGACACATTGTTCCAAATCTAAACCAATAAACGTACAACTCGTCAGAAGTGCACTTAAAATGATTTTGCAATTATCTTTTTCCGAACAATGATCCAATATTTTTCTTGCAATTTACGGGATTTACTTTCCGATGATTAGTTTTTCTCCTGCAGAAAAGCAAGTACACGAAAATCAATACGAAAAATCGGTCGAAAATACAGATCATACCGGTTCATTCTGGAGCAAAAAAACCGGTCAAAATCGACGATTTGCGACACAATAACCGGTCTCTCGTATAAAAAACGCGGGTGTGTTTTTGATATTATTTTTGCATCGTTGGAGTATAGCAGCGGTTCACGCTGTTATATTTTGGTGAAAACCGCAGAGATCTACGTGTGCGCTAAATTGGCTAGAATCGCCCTTTTCGATTTAGTACAAAATGTGCTCAACAGCTGTTATTTCTGTTGGTCACGTGGATAGAGCTGAAAATGCGGTTAGAAACAGTTTGTAGCTGCGTTTAACACAGTTAATATTCACAAAAAGAACCTTATAACGCGGTTATGAGCGGTTCCAGTTCATCAAAAAATATGCTCCGATAACCGCGTTCTGAACGGTTATTAACTGCGTTTAACGCAGGTGAGAAAGAAAGCGAGAAATTTATAATCGATTTTCTAGCGGTTATTAGCCGGTGTCAGACCGCAAAAAACGGTTATTTTGTTGATTTCCTGCGTTATTTTGCTGGAGCTTAAACCGCACAAAACCGTTCTTTTTGCGGTTATTTTGTTAACTTTTCGTGTCTGGGTTCGTTCTCATTTCAAATTTTACTATTTCATCTACTGAAGTGCTTTTCGCCTGTGCTTGGTTAATTTAATGTTTTTTGCGAAAAGTACGTATAAAAGTTTCTACAATAGCACTTCAGGCTCAATGAAGATAAAAAGCTTAATATATCTCAGAATTTATTTTCCTTAGTTTTTTACCACAAAATGTGTAGTACAAAATGTGCTCAACACCTGTAATTTCTGCTGGTCACGCGGACAGTGTTTTCTGTTCAAATGCTATTTAGTATAGTGTTAAGAATGTTGTGGTTGCATGATAGATTGTCGATCAAAAGTTGTTAAGGATTCACAGGTCCGTTTGCATTGCCCAGAACACACAACGTGGAGGTTGGCTTAACGTATTTTGCAAGAAACAACGTACAGACCTTTGTTGTATCTAACTGGATAACTGTGGTAGATCATTGAACTGTTTCCATTCCTTAATTTTATGTTTTAAGAGACAGTAACAAAAAACAGGAAAGAATTAAAACAAGAAATAATTACTACTTGGTAGTAATCAGGTCTATTGAAACGATCACCAGCGAAGCAGTTTCTTTCGAATATTTTTTTTGTATTGTATATAATGATTTAATCGATATTATTTTATATTATCTATTCGATTTAAATAAGATACAATATTATTTGAATTTTCTGTGGAATAGACAAATTCTAAGAAATGTCTTAAATAGCAATTCAGATGACCAACAACAACCATCCACGTTAGATCAGCAAACGTCGTATGAGCAAATGAACACGCCACAGCAAATACCACAATGTTTATATCCAATACAACGTTTTAGTTCATCAAGTCCCCCACCGTCTCGTTTTAGTTTTCCATCCAATCTGATTAAGTCATATATTCACTATACCAGCATTTTCTCATGAAATCGGTAATTTTTATATTGTAGTCCACCAATATATATTTGGTGATATTGGTTTTCTTTGATTTTCACTTTCAGAATGTGATTTTGAAAAACCTTGAATTTGAGTTGACAGGTTTGGGGGGGTATCTTTATTAGAAATTCAGCGATAAATGAACTTCTCTCTGAATATGCTCATTGGATTTTTAATCTAAAAATGTAGTTTTGATTCAAAAATTATTTTGTTCTGAAGAGTTCCTAGAAGATCTTTGATGAAAAATCAAGATTTTTGAGAGGTTTTCTCTAGTAAACTGAGATGATAAGTTAACTTTTCTTTGATGTTTACTTTGAACTTGTTAAACTCGATAGTTTAAATTTATAAGATTGCCAAAATCAGATCCAATTACTAAAAGGTTTTCTGTTATGGTTCTAGAAAACCTTTGGAAAACCATCAGTATGAAAAATAGGATTTAATCGAAAAATTAATATTTTGCATGTCTGGTAGAGAAAACAATCATTTTATTACAAATCTACCCAACTCGAACTTTCTATCACATTACTACTGATGGTGCTAGTTTTTTGGAGACCATCTTAATTTTTATCATCGCATTTTCAAATGTAGAAACCACATGGAAACATAGGTTATCGACTATGCTGATTATCATGGTAGCATTTTTTTTATCATAACTCTTCATATTCTGTCGGATGTTACTTATATCACTTTGGCTTGATTACACTTGAAAATCACATCTTTAGATCCAACGTCAGTTGAACTTCGAGAACGAAACAAATGCTACCTGGATAATCAGCGTAATCGTTAACCTGTGTTTCCATGTGGTTTCTATATTTGAAAATGTGATGATAAAAATTAAGATGGTCTCCAAAAAACTAGTACCATCGATAGTAATGTGACAGAAAGTTCGAATTGGGTAGATTTGTAATAAAATGATTGTTTTCTCTACCAGATATGCAAAATATTAATTTTTCGATTTAATTCTATTTTTCATACTGATGGTTTTCTAGAACCATAACAGAAAACCTTTTAGTAATTGGATTTGACTTGGAAGTTCCCTGTATGGGACATGAGTTCTTTTGTAAAACTCATTTTTTTCACATCTTTAAATTCATTTTTCTTCTTCATTTTTTCAAGGAACCTATTTTTAATTCTTCTTCTTTTCGGTTCTCTGCGTTTAATTTTTTTTTATCAGTACTATATCAATGATCACATAAGTCTGAATTATTTTTCTTATACTCTTTAAATATTGCCAACTGGAGTCCTGCACGGGTTGAGAAAACGTAACCCAAACCCGACCGACATTTAGAAAACCAGTTGGAACCTGATCTGACTCTGCGATCTGGTAGGGTTAGGATCGGGTCCTAGGGCTCTATTGTCACAGACAAATATGTCCTTGAAATCTGCACATTATTGTACGTAGTTAGAAATTTTGACAAATGAATTGAAGTTTTTGTAAGAAAATATCATGTATGTTATGTATATTATGATCAGCAAAACAAAGGCGGTGATCATCAACTGTGATTTGCTTTTTCTTTTTGAATTTCGAGATCTTCAAAGAACTGAAAAGAAAAAACATACTTTCCCACTTTTCTAAGATCTCAGTTTTTGAAAAACTAAAATGAGCTGGAAAACTGAAATGAGTGAAAAACTCAGTTTTTGTTGAAAAACAGAAATTAAGTTCTTCATGTTCCAATGAACTTAAATGAGTTCTTCGACTAGTTCTTTGAAAACACGTTTGTTTTTAGTGAAAATTTTTACATGAATCGATAGCCAGAAGTTATCGCTATTTACCTGTAAAATATCGCTTTTCCTGGATAAAAATTGAGCGAACTATAGCAAAAATACGGCGAAATTTTGAGGAGCTGACCATAATTACCCCAAGGCACTCTATTAATCGCAAATTTAACAAAGTAAAACGGTGTCTTCTCCTTCTATCCACAGACTATTAAGTAATTTTGTTTTGATATGGGTAAACATTTGAGAACTATTAAGTGTCGGACAGATCTGTCGTATTTTTTTGATTTAATATAAAACATCAAAGGAGACAAGTTATTGGTGAAATAATGTAGCTATGTTCTAAATATTAGACTATTTCTGGACAGATTTTGCCCGAAATGTTTGGAAAAAAGGAAAGATAATTGAAACATTTTTCCTTAATGAATTTTGGATTGGAATTCTTTGATGAAATGTCATTTTTAGATATATGCTAAATCTGAAATTGTCGAACAAGAACCCTCTTGTTTAAGAAAGAAGCAAAACTACCTTGCTTTTTTCAACGGTCAGATGTTAGCAAGATTTGTTTGTTCAATTGATGTTCGTTGTTATGTTTCAGTATATATTTTTTTTGAAACTGCATTATGCACAAAACGGAACAACATACAAAATAGTATGATAACACAAAACAAAGATCACTCTCTTTATATACAAAATAAACATGCACAACTTTCTAACATATGTCTAAGTTTTTATTTACAAAACAATGACAGAAAATAGAAAAAGTCAAGCTCACTGTATGAATAAATGAAGTTCTAATTCAGTATTTAGAATAATGATTACCATCCTGACGATTGTCCACCTTGCATATTTTGTGTTAATGAATGAATATAATCGGCCGCTCTTGTAACCACTTCATACTCAGACATTGGTTGACTACTAGAATTTGGAATTAATGATCGTAATTCATTCAATGAGCTTTGATAGGACGATGAATTGTATGAATTGTCAGATGTTGATGGCGATGACATGTTGTACAGACAGCAAGCAAGTAGCTTTGATTGAATATATTAGTCGTAAAGATATAGTCGTCGTTTATTTGTGTTAGTGGATGATAACGAGAACAAAAGGTGAATGGAGAATAGAATAGTCGTATTTATGATCTTTTCAACCTGAAAAATGATTGTTTAAATATGAAGTTGTCTATATGATCTAGATATGTATCAATGTGTATATGATTTTCGTTCATTTATAGTAAAAGACAGGTGCCGGTAGATGATGATGTACATACCATACACAGCTCACGTATATGTCATCAATATGAACATAAGAGACATGAGTGAATGAACGCGGATGATATAAATAAAAACCGTAAAGAGAGAGAGAGAGAGAGAGAGAGAGAGAGAGAGAGAGAGAGAGAGATGTCAAACATTTCATTTTTTTTCTTTTATTCAGATGTGTTATTTCACGCTGGTCGATAATCACCAGTTCACACACGTACACACACACGTTATAAATTCGTATATGCTGTTACGTTCAAGATGAGTCGTTAGATGGTGTGGGCAGATGGTCAACGTATGCAACGTTTGAGGAGATAAATGTGCGATACGCATAACGACATTATTCTCCATATAAAAGAACAATTAAGAGAGAGAGAGGTGAAATTTGAGAAAATATAATAACATATAACTCAATATGTGCCATTCGTTCAGAAGGATCATGTGAGCAGTTTTTGTGTTTGTCTTTTTTATAAATCGGTAAAACGTTTTAATAATGAAAAGTACTTAGACTACAACAATCACCATTCGCAAATCACTCAGTCATGCTGTGTGAAGCTAGTTTACAAAGAATAGTTTACAAAGAATTTGGCTAAAACAAACACAAACAGCAGCGACTCATTGATCGTTATAGGTCTAGTACTTTTCATAGAAAAAACGGTTCCTTAGAAAAGGAATATTTTATACTCGGCTATTTCTATTGAAGTATATTGTTACATATTACGAGATTTTTTTAATGAAGTCTCTATTATAAAAGTAAATCAATGTCATGTTCTTTTATTTATTGAAAATTAAATGAGATTGTTCACAGGTAATCTTGTTCTAACTATCAGAAACTAATCCCTTAACATCTAAAAATTTTATGTACCTTCGATAAAGAAAGGCTTGCATAATTCCCACTTAGACGATAAATCCTTTCTAAGAAATTGTCTTGTTTCTCATAAAACGTTCATCGATTTACAAAAAAGACAAACGTAAAACCTGCTCATATGTTTCTTCTGAACGAGAAGGAACGTCAAATTTTTAGATGTTGAAGGATCAGTTTCTGATAGCTTTAGGAAGAGTACCTGTGAACAATCTCAATTATTTAATTTTCAATAAATAAAAGAGTATGACATTGATTTACTTTTATAATAGAGACTTCATTAAAAAATCTCGTAACATGTAACAATATACTTCAATAGAAATAGTCGAGTATATTAGCTTTTATATCAAAAGAGAAGATAATTTATAGTACTAGTAATAAAATATGGTATAAAAATTTTCAGCACTGCCATGGTATAAAGATCTCTAAATAATAACAAGAGATGCTCTTTATAAATGGACATATGTGTCCTTATATTTATTCACATGTTATCAAATGATAGTGACGATTGAGCCTGTAAATAATTAATGCTTCAGCAAATATGTTAAGATATGACAACAGCAACGGTACCTGATATAAATAAAATACTGTTAATTTATGATATGTAGACATTGAATAATCAACAAGATTACTTACAAGAAGCAACAAAATTATCAGAAAAACAAAACAATAGACTAATTCAGGCGTATTCATTCGTTGATAATTAGATAAAAGAGATAGATGCACTTTCTACTTTTAATCATTTCACCTATTATAGCCCGATATGTTTAACGATATTTTGTTTTAATTTATTTTGTTGGATTATGAGAACAAAGATCGTATGAAAAATTAGTCAAAACTGTATGTAAGATTGTTGAATAATGTTTGTTAATCTTAACGAAAAAGTGAATGCTGTATTCATATTTCTCCCACGATAAGTAAAGTTATGAACTTGTTCGCTAACTATTAGAAGAAAAAAAAAATGAACAATATTATACAGTATAGTAAATAATTTAGGAAACGATTTAGACGACGTCTGCACTTATGGTTCTTGTTTTTTGATAGATAAACGTAAATAGTATACTATTTTCTTTATTTAGACTAGTGAAGTTGACAAAAAGTAATAAATATCAATTCTATTAACAAACAAATCTTAACAAAGAAAAAAACATCACCGTTCACAGAATAAAAAATAAATAAAATACATAGAATGTGTACATATTAAATATATCACACAAAATACCTGCACTTGATCAATGTAATAGTAATAAAAAATGCAAAAATAAATTCGACAATATCACATACCTAGCTGTTTGTCATTCGATTCAGTATCAATTATTAGTGAATCATTTCCTAGAGGCAATGTACCTATGTGACTTTTTTTCTCGTCACTTTGATCTTGTTCAACGCGTCTTTCATCTTTTAAAATAAGTTCAGGCTTTTCTTGATATAATGCTGCACCCCAATGCATCTGTTGAACCAAATATCGACATCGATCTAACTGCATGTGTACATCACGTGGAACTCGGGGTATCACATTTCGAAATAGAAAAAGCGCAATATAAACAAAATGTTCAAATAGAAGAATAAAGGCTAATCTTGCTACAAATATATAATAAAAATCAGCACTCCGTTGATATGGATGCGAATCATCGTACGGTAAACGATAATCCTTGTATCTAAAAAAGAACTAAACTTGTTTTAAATTCTCGTAGATCAAACTCATCAAGAGATTAAATATATTCAGAAAAAAAACTATTGAATTCTAAGGGAATATGCAATATCTCTTATACCTGCAAGTTGTAAAATTGACTTTATTTCGTAATTCTTGTGCTGCTACAGAATAACAATCAAATTTTGATAGATTTGTTGATGAAAATGTAAAATATCCTTGTTTTGAATAATTAGTTAATCTTCCTTCAAGAAAATCACATTCTAATTGTGTTCGATTTGTGTTATTGGGAAAATCACTCGTTAAAAATGTTGATAATGATTTATCTATATAACCATGTAAGGAACGATGGCCATATTTATAATAGTACACTTGTCGAGCTTAAAATATATAAAAAACACTATTAACTGTGTGTATTATCTAAATCAGATCTATATAAAGTAACTTACGAATAAATTCAGATGTTAGTGCAATAATTATAGCCTAAAAAAGAAACTATTATTAGTAATTCGTGTGCATTTTTAAAACAAAAAGATGATCGTTACATTTTCACGTGTTGGTATTTTAGAAATACATGCATAAGTACAACAGGTGATTCGATTGATAAGATTTCAATCTTTTTAAATTGTCACTAAATTTTTTTTTGTCATCGAAGACTTCTTCCAAGAAAGGAGTGAAGCAATGCGCCATGGGCACATTAATATGATCGTGTCGCATGTCATTTGAAATCTCTACTATCTTTTTCATCTAGCTTTATTCGATATTATGTTTGTTGTACTTACGTTACTTAATACGGCAATCTTAGCCATCACACTTATAATACTAAAATCAATGACTTGAAATTAACGAGAATATGTCTCAATGAGAAGACATACTTATTCCATGTACCAATAGACATCGATCGGCTTGCCACGGGTCTTCTCAATTCTTTAATTACTTTCAATGCATCGACACGAATCTAAAATATAAAAATCAGCTGTAAAACTTCTGATCATACGAGAAATAAAGTCACATACTTCGAATAAATTATTGATTAATGCAAACAGAGGTGCCAGTGGAAAGGACACAATGAACATAGTCACAAAACCAAATTGTAGTACCAGTTCAAGATACTCGTAGAAGAGTGTTGCGAGATCCCATCCTTGTAAGAGAAAATCTTCTTCATACATACGTTTTAAACTAATCTGTTGTGTATCATGTGAATTTTTCATAGTACAATCATGTTCAGTTAATTTTAATCTTTTCTCTCTTTTCTCAATCTCTTTCACTGTATCGCGAAATAGAATTTTTTTTCGACATAAATTCCAAAATTTGGCAATACACATTTCCCAAATATTTGAGAGCAATTGTTTTCCTACCATAATTATCTAGGATAAGTAAAACTATCGTTTGTCATAAAACTAAGTCGAATGTTTAAAATTTTACTTACAATTAGTTGAAATGATAATTCCCATATACATCCGGAAACATCACATTCTTCAAATCGTAATGCTTGCGATGATAAATTTAAATGTAATGGTGTACGAACGATTAATGGTTTAATTAATGCAATATAAAATATAGAAGCATAATAATTGACAAATTGAAATAAAAACATTTTAATTGTTAATGAGTCTTCATATGTTTTATCTGTTCGATGTAATTCAAAATTTGTTAACCAAATAGCTAAAATCTCATAAAAATACTGTAGACATATAATAATGATTAAATTAATTGCAGCTGCTGTTGCAAGTACAATGGGTGATTTCCATTTATATATCCATACGCCACTATCGATACTCGCAAGTGCTGCTGTAACACTAAGTCTATAGTAGAAATAACAACACTATATTAGATGATTGATCAAATAATAAATAATTTCTTACCGATAAATAATTACTCCAAATACTACAGCAAAAACAAGAACTACCATAAATAATACAACAGAAAATGATGACAAATAATATAATAAACGTTTGTATCGTGGAACGTAAGGCTCATGTTTTTCTGTGATTGGATTAAGAATTGTTTTTGTTACACTATAAATAAGAATAAATGATTTAAAGTTTTGCATAATAAATCTCTCTCTCTCTCTCTCTCTCTCTCAGTGTTAAATATTACCGACGTTCAAAATCTGGTCTTAAGATTTCTGACTCATCTGGAACATCTGTCATATCCCAAACAAATTGATATTTGTATTCATTTCGGTGCCATAAGAATGGAAGTAGTAGAGCCCATACACTAACGAACAAAGCAAAGCCAATTGAACATGGATTATCAAATATGTATGATATCTAAATAAAAAATAAACTTAGAAAAGACATGATAAATACAAATGAGAAAAAAAATCATAATAAACTCTTTTTGTTTTGTACATGCAATGAAAAATAAGATAACTTAAATAATTAATTCATAGATGCTCAACATTTCTCCTATTGCTATAATAAACATGACATAAAGAAAGAGAAGTATACAATTACTTTAGCGGTAAAACATGTTTCATTTAATAACCAGTACATTTTTCGATCAACTCGTGGACACATTAGATACTTTGTGGAATTAGAATTACAAATATCTATACTAAAAATAAAAATGAAAAATATTTTATTCTATATTTAATAAAAAGAGAAAAAGATATTTACGTTGGTTGATCATAACGAACAACTATGATACCATATAGAAGAACAAATATTCCTAATATACTTGGAAGGATTAGCATTGTATTATACCAGCCTAACCTAAACAAATTATAAAAAAAACAACTCAAAAGATCAATGCTATCGGTGAATGATGTACTATTTTTTTTACCAACAAAAATAAAATGCAATTTTTTCTCCAAAATAATCACGAATTAATTGTATTGGTTGTACACGAAATAAATTACGAAATCTAGCCCATCGATAATACAATTTCTATAATAATAAATGAGATAATAAATAGACATCATTTTTATGTTCTATACAAAAGAAAGCTGACCATTCGATCATTCCATGTTTCAGGTTTAGGCGAGTTTAATAATGGCTAGAAGAGAATAAATAAATATGATTATCATAATCAATTAATTTTTGTTATGAAATTTACGTACATCGTGTAATGGATAAGCTGCTTCATAAACACCTTCTTGTAACAGAATTTCAATGCCTAGCAAAAAAAGACATAACATTAACAGTTTTAAACAAAAGAAGAAAAAAAATGTAAGTAGTCATTAGACATTTATATTAGCATCATCCTGAACGAGAAAAAAAATTTATCATCGATAACAAGTATGTAGTGTAATCAAATCAATTGTTTCCAATAGTGCTTAGAGATAAGCATAGAGACAAATGCAGATAATAAAAAAAAGATAATCAAATACTTTCAAGGGTTTAGAGTCAATCACGTCTGTAGCATACGATAAAACTAAAAACATGCTTTTTCTAACAAGTGAAAACCAATTAAAATATAAAATATCTCAATTTTCATGCAATTCAAATTTGGCATACATATAAAAAATACTACAAATAATTACCGAAAGATCCAATGAGTGCTAAACAGAATAAAATAGAACATGAAGAATAAAATGAAAATGTGAACATTTTTTAGTAAAATAAAAAAACATGCCTAAAATATATGAGTAGCAAAAAATTAAATATCTTACCATTTCCTTTTATTCCTGAAATAACATTTTTAATTAAGATTCAACAAAAGAAATAAAATTTTTGTTATTATTATTTACCTGATCGTCTGGTACTAGATGTAAATACTTCCTCTATTTTTAACGTTTGCATTTGAGTAGCAGTATTTGGTTCTTTATCCCTATAATCTTCGTACATCTGTGAATAAGGATAATTTTGTTTTGAATGGTTTCCAATTAATTGTCTAAAATTATCAGATAATGCTGGAATAGTTGGCTCTTCCATACCTAGAGCAAAGTAAGAGAATGATTTAAGATAAGTCAAAATATCGCGAAGAATAGTTCAAATAATAAATAGTGGTTAATAAAATAAGCAAGAGTTACCAGTATAATTGTTCACAACATTAATTTTATTCATGCTCTTTTACTATTTTGAACAATTTGAAAAATTATAATTCCTCATTTTAGAAATTTGATTGTAGTGTATTAAAGAATTAGATTTAATTCTAATTAACATTTTTTCATAAAGAATTACAAGATAAAAGCGTTAGCTATACCAGTGAGTTGAGGCTGAACGCGAAACTGAATACTTCTAGAATTATCTAACAAGAAGAATGTGAGTGAGTATTGATATATGATTCTTGCAAGATCAACGATAGATTTTTAAGAAAATGAAATTCAATTAAAAAAAGTAAATCAAACTATTCTTAAAAATTATATTAATTCAGTATATTAGTATAAAGAAAACAAACCGGAGAAAATGTTGACATACGTTCATCAAAATTTAACACAAGGAGAGATCCTAAGAGAATATATGGAAAATATGTCATAAGGTGCTGTGAATAGTAGCCCAAAAAACAGTTTAGTAACAGAAATTCTTCTATTGATTGACGTCAATAGCGAATAATACCCATAAAACTAAAAATGTTAAACATCCGTAGGCAGAGACTAAGTCCGATCACTATATTATAAAACAGTATCATGTGTTCTCACCTGTTCCCACCATATCAGGTAATCTGTATGGACAACGTCGTAATAATTCATAAACAAGTCTGGATCGTTCAGCTGGACGAAATACGGTATTAACGTCACCAAAATATTCAGAAAATCTTAAAATACACAAATGATTAATTATGATGGATGGATGAATCAATGAATGATAGTTAACAAGAGAAACATATTTGTACTTACCTACCTATAATGTAAATTTTTCTGATATACAGCTGTGAAATAAGATGGTTCTTCTGGAAATTCTTTTCGATCTAAATTTGATGCGGCACATGGTAAACCTTTCTCAAATAGACCTTGTTTTAATGGACTTTTATTAATCTAAAATAAACCAAATGGACTACAACACGTTCCAAACGAATTTTCTTATTTACTTACAGAGAACGGTAATTTCACACGCGTCTTTTCTACGAAAAATAAAGTTTCTTCGTTATATACAAAACAAATTATCAGTAATAGACATCTTACCGGCTAATACAAGTAATATTTCAAAAGGTGCATGAATTTTAACAAAATAACGTTCATCTTTTGATTTCCATGATTCCCTTTGTATTTTCGATTGTTGTGAACGTCGTAATACTTGATTATTGTTTACCTATGAAGAAAGACCCAATGATTACAGCTATTTCAACAAAAAAAAAGTCAACTTTCTTAGAACACGGTTCTCGCGCCGCGACTGTACTACATTTGTGTAATTCAGGGTGTGATCACTAATAAATCGGGACAAAATCGCGATGAGTGCTAAGAAAGTTGACTTGCGTTCCTCATTTTCCTGGCATTATAGTGTCAGTCTATAGTCAGGCCTATTTGTAATACATTTTGATCTAGCTACTTCAATAGTTTCACTTGTAACCTCTCTGAAAAACTATTTTTGGATATTTCACACACAGGTCTAGGTGAAAAATGTATATACACGCAATTTTATCGACAATATTTCTTCATGAAAGAAAAGAACTTCTATTTGAAATGGACAAGGTTATGGCAAAAACATCGAGATGAAATCAATACGAAATAAGTTTAGTATGCTTGCAGTAAGGAATATTTCACTCATAATCAACAAGCAACGTTGCTTTTTTCTTGAATGTACCACCACATACAACAATAGCAAAAATATGTGAAACCCTGATAAATTCTCATTTAGCAAAAAAAACGCAAAATTATAAGTTGATGACATGCATCAAATAATGCAAAAATAGCAAATAATAAAAACAAACGAAAAAACACTACATCGAATCGATTCATTTTGTGGATATTGAACAGTGCTAATCAAGAGAAATAAAATTAAGATCTTTCTAATGAATTTTTATTGAGTAATATAAATACCTGTTGATTAGTTTCTTCATCTGAATTATTTTCTAATTTAATATTTTCTTCATCATTGTCAATACCACTAAAGTCTTCGTTTATATCTGTTTCTTTATTTTTAGTCTTATTATTTCCAAAATGTGAACTGAGTGTTTGTAATTTAAAAGACATTCCTCGTTGAAACGTCGATAAACTATGAACAAGTACACCAGTTTGACTTACTGCTACCTCTGTTTGGCGACAATTGAGTAGTTCATTATCCTAAAAATAAAAAATACGTCATTTCTTATTTGTTTATCATTCTTATACATAACTTACTTCATGTGTTAATAATTCTTCAACAACAATGAAACCCAATTGTTTTAGATTTTTTTGAAAATATTCTCGATATTCACAAGTATTTGATTTTTGACGATGTCGACGACCATAATGTTTTGAATATACAAGAATATAATCAACAGGTAAATATTCACCATTATAATAAATTGTTTTAGATTTATCAAAGAAAGGTTGTAGTGGTAATTTTGTTGTCGTATGATTATCATTGGTACTTTTCTAATAAACAAATACACAATAGAAATAAATAAGCTAACAAAGACTGAAAGCAAAAATGCAAAATATCAAGAAGTAGAAGGATGAAGTGTTCAATTGAATTTATTGACTATCGACAGTAATCGATACGACTGATAACAGAAATTCTCATTCTTTCAATTGCTCTTTAAAATATTTTCATATTTTATCATTTTCTACTTCACTATCATAATTAGGCTTGCAAAAGTTCACGTTTCATCCCTTGAACATGAACGTTAAAATACTGGTGAACGTGAGTTTTTTTTATACGAACAGTGTTCATATCGTCTGAAGTAAACATAAACTTCTGTTCTTGTACTGTCGTAAGAACATATATATTTCTACTTGGTCTTATCTGATCAATAGAAACTCTAGTGAACGATCAGATGGTCTGATGAGGATAGTGACCAGATTATTGCAATGTAAAAAGCATACTCTTTGATTCTCTGATCAAGACATTGAAGGAACGCTGAACTTTTGCAGGCCTAATCATAATGATATCTTCTAAATGACTTTTCGAGAATGTTGGTAGTATTAGACGTTCTTCTTAATAAACAACTATATAATCGATAGACAGTAGTAGATTCTAAGCATTTTTCAACATGGATACTGTTTTTCAAAATGTTTCCATTTTTAAACTAAAATATTGACTCTCGTCTCTCATTAGAAGAGAACAAAAATTTAAATAACACCAACCTACCATAGACGATTTCATCAAACAATTTCTTTTATTCGTTGTTTCTCCTAAATAAAATACATAACGATCAGTTGTTGAATCGTTAATAGATGATAGAAGATAATGTGTCTTTTTCACGAATATAAGGATAATTCATATTTCTCAAAGAGTCGATTGTGCTATATACCTCGTAGAATTTTATATTTTATTTTTTGTTCTCAAATCTTTTCATTCTAAGAAGAGCAAATACTTCAGTTCAATGTGCAAATACTTCGGGTATTTTTTAGAACATTTCTGTCTCTTTATACAATGCAGTTATTGTGTTTATTCTTTATGCTAATGATAACTGCTAACGATTTATTTTTATTCTATGAGTACTATATCTCAGAAAACGAGAAAGGTTTACAGTGAGTAAAAAACAAACAGAAAAAAAACAGAACACAGGAAAGAGAGAAATAAAAGAAACATTAATCGCATTGCATGAGAAAACATGAGTCATTTGTAGAACGAAAAAAACATGTAATAAAAGATGTTTCTACTAAAATCGGTCATTCATTTTCTCGTATTATTCAACACTAAACTGTAAGTATATTATCTACAAAATTTATAATATTTTGATCAATTGATTCTAGAAGGTTTTCTAACTAATACAAACAAAATACAGGGTTTAGCTGTTTCATCTAGTGATAAATTAAAGCTTATTATTTCGAGAAAAGAATTTTGTCAACATGAATAATAACTCTACGCACAGACAACAATTAGTATCACTTAATTTTTTTCAAAAAATAATAATACGTATCCATATTTCACATACCGTTAGTTTTTCTGAATCTCGATAGATTACAGTAGCAGTAAGAGTGACAGAAAAGTAGTAACTTATTTGACTCGAAATTAGTGTTATAATGTAGTTCTGTTAGATCTAAATATATATGAACCTTTAAAAATAGAACATGTGTCTGAGCGTTCATGTACATATTGTTGGCTATTCCTAGGTGTTGACGTATGTTATTGGATTTATAGTGCATCGAGCTCTATCATCCTTTATATTTTTTGTTCAATTGGGAGTGTTCCTGTATCTTAAAAATACCCATTTTCATTAAGAAAAGGATATAGTCGTTTTAAGCTTCAGAATTTTAAACACCAATAAAAGAAAATTCGCCAGTAGAAGAATAAGAAGTATATTTTACACTTTTACATCAGTGAACGTTTTCAGGAGTATTTTTTTTGTGAGATCTTTTTCAGCTTCGAAAAACTGTTTCACCCGATTTTCAAAATATTTTACAAATGATAGGTCATGTACATGAGTGATTTCTGTATCTTGCCTTATCATAAAAGTATATATGTACACTTTTTATTTAGATCAATATTTAAATGAGCGGATTCGGAAGTACAAATCCAACAGCAGGAGCAATTAACGAAGGTGGTGGCAGTTGGGCTCGCAAAGAAAAAGCAGATGAAAATATGTATTTTCTAAAACAAGAAAATGAAATACTAGAAAAGATGAGACAAGCAAAAGCGCAAGAAGGAAACGATACAACTACAGATCGACGTACAAATGAAAATCCAGAGAAAAAATAACTCTAATTCATACAAGACATAATCTTTTTATATTTATTTCATGCATATATTATTGATTTTAAGTTTTCTCAAATAAATTATATCAGCTAATAATTGGTTTAACAGCTAAAGCAACACAAATTCCGCAATGAATGACAATGAAAATGCCAGCGAAATAGAGAAGAGACTTTGCGATGCTATGAAAAAAGAAAGCACTTACGTACATCTGTAATTTTATCTTCTAATATACTAAACGTTTGGAAAAAGTTATAATAATTTTCTATAAATATTCGATATTTCATTAGGAAAAGCGATGTTTTGGAGAAAAGACGCACGGAATTTCGTTGAGAAGATTTCAGAGTCGCTGATCCATCTCAATGATATTTAAGTGATCAACGTGTATTCCATAAAACTTCGTTGAAATATACACTAAAACAATTTTCACCTTAAGGGTACACTCGTAGTTTCATCGACGGTTATAGAAAGACTTGCGAAGAATTTTTCTTTCAAAAACTTGTCAAAAGAGTGTGCGTTATGTATCTTTTTGGATGGGTATATGTATAACTACCTTTGTAACTTGCTGATTTAAGTTTTGGACTTGTTGTAGTTGAGTTGACCCCTAAAAATATACGTTATTTAGTGCAAGTAGTTATATTTTTATTTACAAGCAACAGACAAGCAAAGCTTTTTCAGCATCAAATTAAAACAGTCTGGTAGACAAAGATGCAGAATCTAACCGTTCGACTGCCGTTGCGGAGAAAAATTCGTTTTTTTTGTGTTTTTTCAAAAAATCACTACTCTGAAAATAATGTGAAGATATGTACAAGAAAAGAATGTGAAACTTGATAAGAAAAGAATGACTAATTTTTTCATTATGTATAGCGATAGTTGAAGCCATTCAAATAAGATTTAAAAATACACCATCAGTTTCTAAAAATAATGAAACGGGGGCTCTCAAACAAAAGTAGGTGGAACACTTTTTTGCTATAAAAATCATTTTCCAAGTGGTACAATGAAGGTACGAACCTCTGAGGTGGTACAAAATGCCTCAAACGCTTGGGAGGGGATAGACGCTGCTGTAATGAAAAATTGTTTAGATCCCGCACACTTATTAAACGTGTTATTAAAAACATTAACTCATCAATTAAATCCAGAATATGGTGTTAGTAGTCTAGAAGAATTCGTGATTGATTTCCACGAGAAATGCACCCCATTTTAAACATGAATTTTACTTATCGGAAAGAACAATTCAAATAAATGTGAAAAGAACGGTTTCTGAATGAACTAGAGGTTCTTGATACATACGAAATATAGACAACAAAAGATTAAATAATCACAAAAAAGATGATGAAAAACTTTTTTTTATAGAACAACAACTAGCTGACGGTATTCAAAATTATTTTTATTTTTATTTATGAATGATATTAAAAATAAGAAGTAAAGCAGTGCATGAATCAGCTGCGTCAATTTTGAAAGGACATATTCATAATAATCTTGAATACAATCACTCAATAGTTACTTTAGTCAACTAAGAAATAAACAACGGTTGTTTTACAAAAAAGAACGAATAGTATCAAGTATAGAAATTAGTGTCTCTTGGTTCAATTGTTTATGTCAAGAACAAGCAATGAAACTACGAGAACCAGACATGTGTGACTAAACAGAACAATAGTTTTTAACTTAAAGGCTGAATAAGTAATAGTTTTAGCAACAATAGAATCACATTGTTGTTGTTTTTTTTCTTTGTTTCTTTTACCGGGAAAATTTTATTATAATTTTTTATCATTGGGAGAAATTTCCTAATCTCACGGGTAGATTCTGCATCTCTGCTGGTAGAAGTAGGAAACAGAACTATGTATGATAAGAAATTTTCATCAGGTGGGTAAAAAAAATGCTTTTCGTTTGTATCTCTACTGTGAGAGTGAGGGTTTACTGTGATTTATTTCACGGTTTTCTCATTACACACAAAAAAAGTTGTCGCATCCAACAAAAATTCAAAACTTCTCTTCCTGCCCAGTAGTATTAGAAAACTTGGAGAGATACAAAATAGGTATGTCTCGTTTTTGACTATTCGAAATTTCTGAGCTTTGTCTAGCCTAGATACTTTTAGTGATAAATGCATTCTAGATTTCGAAAATTATTGAAAATAAAAATCAAGCTCCAAAGCTAATTATTCTAAATATTTTTTGAATGCATAGGATTGTTTAGTAGCTTTTCCTCTGCAAAATGGAATACGTCGATGTTTGTATATCCATTTCATGATTAATTCTATTATTGTTTACGAAGTTAATGATTTAGTTGAAAAGTCTTTGAATTTTTTTCCCTTCGTATTTATTAATAAATATATATTAACATTTATCAACAAAACAAGTATGTATACCTATTTGATAAGGCAAAAACAGGAATAATAATGACCAATTACAATTCTACTTTTGCGAAAAATAGTTCGTAATGTTAAATTTTAGACTATTGCGTATTTCTCAAATAGCTCACGTTTTGTAAAGAAAAGTCTTAACTGCAGTCTGAAACCATGGAGCGCAATTGGTAACAAATAGTTTGAGAAGTACAGTTATTTCTGTAAATGTACCAATAAACCGCTTTTAGAATTAGTGTACTCCTGTCTAGAGAGATGATTGTAAGCAAAATAAACACACACACACAACACAAACAAGCGAATATCATTCTATTAGTCTATGTACCAGTTTCATTCGAAAAACATGAGTAAAACGTATCCGATGAGTTATCATATGACAAGTTAGCAGATGCATCAGACCAAATTTCTGCAAAAAAATGAAATAAACATAAATAATAAGTAACAAAAGTAGGGGTAACTAGGCCAAATTGTCTGTCTCTCACGAACAAACTCATCAAGCGTGACTACGACTTTTGGATTTCATGTACTCCATTTATTAGAACTTGATGCGTTGATTACGGTGTCTTAATGCATTTTCCTCAACATGTTGATGAGATGGTTGGAATAAAATTCTGTTGACGAATCGTAAAATTATGGACGACATAGTAAAAAATGGTGATTTTTGGGATTTTTTCAAAATAATTATCGGTATTGAATAAAAAGATTTCTAAAAGCCATGCTACAATAATCAACGAATCGAGTTCTAGCAAATGGGACACATGACACTCAAAACTCGAAGTTTCACCTTTGTTCTATCGAAAGATAATACAGTATTTTTGAATATAAAGGCTTGTTTTATTCGTCTCGATAATAAAAGATTCGTATGAAGAAGTTTCTATAAAATTCCATTACAGTATACTAACCAAGAAATGAACTGGTATCAGATGAATCAAGTTCGTGATCTACTAATTAAGAACAAAAATTACTAAATTACAAGTGAGAATAGTTATTCACTTACTTGATTCATGTGATTTGTTATTAATAAGAAAATCTTAAATAAGAATATCAATATTGAATCAAAAATAGACTTAAACAGAAAATCTACATACTAAATTTATTGATCATGTTTGAGTAAACAAAATGACAGTCATTATTCAATAAAAAGAAAAAAACAATATTTAATTAATAATTTAATCTAAAATATCAGATGTGATTTATTAAATATTTCAAATTATTTCTTATTTTTATGATGATTTGTAAATTGTTACGCTGTCACTATCCTAAATGAATGTACTTGAATACTTGCCAATTTTCTAAGATACTTCTCAAGTATTTTCAAAGTAACTAGCTTGCCAAGTCGTTGCTAGATACTTGACCAAGTTGTTGTAAAGTACTTTCATAATGGTTCAAGTGAAAACAATAAATAAATAAATGTCAAGAAAAACTGCGAAATTGTACTGTTAAGCAATAAATATTAATATCAGTCAGTCTTTTTTCAATATCATACAATATCAATCTTGTTTAGTTACATTTGTCGTCTAAGTACATTTATCAAGTCTTAGTGGTCGGCGCTTTCACGCAATGAATAATATAAACTTTTATTCGTTTTTATCTACATCCGTTCACGTTTTTATTTACTTGATATTTGGAAATCAGTAAATGAATGCAGAAGTTACAGAACGAGATGGCTTTACTTTGTTTTTTCTTCTTTGCTTTGACCACTGAGACCTCTTAAGCAAAACGACCTGTCAAAATAACTGAGAACGTGGGCTGTTCTTAGAGTACTGTTTCTGTTAAGTTTTGCCTTAAAGCAAGTCCGTAAAGGGAAAAAGTTTTTTAGCAAATTACTGAAGAGATATGAGTTACCATGCTCAGTTATGACATTTTAAAATAGTCCTATTTGTGTCACAATTATCTTTAAAACATGTTTTGTTCCAACAAATACATTGAGCAAACATTTATTTTTTACAAAATGAGGCGTTTCGCAAGTTCAGGAGATTCTTAATAATCGTGTTATAACGATTTTTTTATACTTTAAAAAACAGTTGAAAATGACTACTCCACAACTGGTGTATGGCTAAGTATTTGTTTTGAAGACTGTTGTTTTATATTGCAATGTCAAAATGATCTGAAGTGTGTCTTGCTTCAGTCTCGCTTCTAGGGAACCCTAGGCAAAAATTCTTCAAAACAATTTTTTCTTAAAAGCATTTAAGTAAACGCATGATTCAATCCAGTTTTGTCTAATATGTTTTTATTTTCGTTGAAGAAGTATGAAAAGTGGGAAAAGTACAAAATAAGCGGATTACCGCATTGCTAAAAATCCATTTTTCTCAATGTTTATGCTCCCGCACTCGCAATCCACCTCAATTTTTTTTATATAGTACAAGATAGAGACTTGAATTCTGCACAAAATGAGGCTAAAATAAAGTTTAAGTCTTTGATCGTTTTTGGCTTAGAACCGTGTTACTAATTCTGTGTCAAAAGTGTACCGAACTTTGATAATAAAAAGCTTATAACTCTTGAAGGAAAGAATACTTTTTTATGAGACGTGTGCTATTTTGTAGCAGAGATTGTGAGGATGTTTTTTCTGCAGTTTCAGTCTTGCGACAAGCGTTGCTAATGGGGAGGAAACAGCGTTTTTGTTGATCATGATCTTTTAAAAAAATCA